CCTTCTTCTTCTGGTTCTTGCTCTTTGGCTGTTCGGGCGGTGATTCGGCAGCGTCTGCGGCGTCGTCCGTCTTCTCTGCAGGCTTGTCGTCCCTGGGCTGTTGTTGTTCCGTCCTTGCTGCCTTTTTCTCGTTCTTCGTCTTCTTTGATTCCACCTTGGCGCTCGTCTTGGGGGTTTCTTTCACCGGTTCGGATCGGGCAGGGGCGGGTTCAGAGTCGCTGAAGCCCTGGAACTCTGCGTCGGCGTGGTCCTTTTCGTCGCCGGAGGGTATGGCAGCGACCTGGCCTCGGGTCAGTCGCTGTAGCACGATCAGGAGAGGTATGGGGGTTAACAGGTTATGTTATTTACGTACGAACTGCACATTGTCGCCATCCTTGACGACGTCGACGCCCTCAATGACCTCGAGGCCGTAGAAACCCTCGGCATCGTCGAACATCTCGGGCACCTCGACCTTCTTCCATGGTAGTGCGCTAGCAGGGACCTTGCGCTTCTTGGAGGGGACACTATTTGCTTTGGCGGACTTTTGACGCTTCTGGGGGTTTTGACCAGCCTCTGAGGGCTGGTGTTTCCTCTTGTGCTGCATTGTGTGTTCCTTGGGGGGAAGTATCTGTAGTGGCGGTGGTGGTAGCGGTGGTTGTGGTAGTGGTGGTGGTGGTAGTTGTAGATATTGAGCCAAAGGCGGAAAAGAAAAATGTCAGAAAAATGCCCCGCGACTTCGCAGAGCAGCGCAGCGCGGCGCAGAACAGAGCAGCTCTCTTTACGCTGCGCTCGAAAATTTCAGCGGACCCGGAAAATCAGTTGGGCCGGGGCAGTGAGTCCCCCTAAGAGGCACAGACCACAGCTTAATTCAGCCCTATAGCCGCTGTCGAGGCCACTGAGTCGCTGAAGCAAATTTTCTCCTCCGGCGGACGGAGGAACGCTGGAACCCCGCCATGTCAAATAATGAAAATAAAGATAAAAAATATGATAAAATAAAATAAAAATAAAAAACCTCATCGTCATCATCACGACCCTCAACCTTCACCCCCTCTTCATTCACCAACTCATTCACTTCTTCTCCCCTTAGTTTAGTTTCCACCATGGGCAAGTCTTCCAAGGACAAGCGCGACGCCTACTATCGTCTCGCCAAGGAGCAGGGCTGGCGTGCACGCAGCGCCTTCAAGCTGCTGCAACTGGACGAGGGTGAGTCGCTTTACCCCGCCATTAGTGACGCCCCTTGACCGACACATTCAATGCTGACGCGAGTCCAGAGTTTGACCTCTTCGCCAACGTCACCCGGGTCGTCGACCTGTGCGCTGCTCCCGGGAGCTGGTCCCAGGTCTTGTCCCGTGTGCTCATCAAGGGGGAGAAGTTTGGCCGGTCGGCATGGCAGGACCGCGAGGCCAAGTTCCGCCAGGAGATGCTCGGCGTCTTCCCCGCCGCCCCTTCGGAGCCCGGCGCGTCCGAGGCTGAGAAGTCCGACGCAGAGGCGGCGGCGAGGAGGGAAGAGGAGGCCCACCCCCGAAAGGACGTCAAGATCGTGTCTATCGACCTGCAGCCCATCAGCCCGCTCCCTGGCATTATCACCCTCCGCGCCGATATCACGCACCCCGCCACCGTGCCCCTCCTCCTCAAGGCCCTCGATCCCGACTACGACGCCAACTCGACAGGCAAGCAGCAGGCCACCGACCGTGTCGACCTGGTCATCAGCGACGGCGCCCCGGACGTCACCGGCCTCCACGACCTCGACATCTACGTCCAGTCGCAGCTCCTCTTCGCCGCCCTCAACCTCGCCCTCTGCGTCCTGAAGCCCGGCGGCAAGTTCGTCGCCAAGATCTTCCGCGGCCGCAACGTCGACCTGCTGTACGCCCAGCTCAAGATCTTCTTCGAGACCGTCGTCGTCGCCAAGCCCAGGTCGTCCCGCGCGAGCAGCGTCGAGGCCTTTATCGTCTGCATCAACTTCCAGCCCCCCGCCGGCTTCCACGCCAGCCTCGAGAACCCGCTCGGCGTCGGCCACGACCTGGACCGCATGCTCCGCGACCGCACGAGCCGCCTGCCCGCCGTCGCCCCCGCGCTGATGCAGGACCCGGCCACGGCCAAGTGGAATGCGTCGCCCACATTGTCCGCCACCGGCGGCGGCGGCGGCGGGGGGCAGGCTGTCGTCGAAGTGGAGGCCTACGACGAGACGGACGAGACGACGGACCACGAGAGCAACATTCGGTGGATCGCACCCTTCATTGCGTGCGGAGACCTGTCGGCCTTTGATTCTGACGCTTCCTATCAACTACCCGAGGACCACGTCTCCCTTGACCCCGTGCAGCCTCCGACGGCGCCCCCCTACAAGCGCGCCATCGAGCTGAGAAAGGCCGCCGGCGGTGCGTACGGCAAGACCTCTGTCAAAGTCTAAGCTACTCTGTACCGCCAAAAAAAAAAAAAAAAACCAGCCAGAGAAAACCAGCCCAAGAAACCCCACATCACTCATTCATCGTCATCCGTATCGGGCGGGCCCGCGGGCATCGACGGCCCTCGCTTCTCGAGCAGGTACAGCTCCCCGGAGTGCGACCGCCCCCACTCGGACGTGCCCAGCGCCTGCTCGTACAGTTTGCTGGCCTGCGGCGACGAGGTCAGGAGCAGGAAGCGCCTCAGGTGCGGCCACTCGTACAGGACCTCGTTCAGGCACACCATCAGCCACTGCGCCAGGCCCCTGCCCTGGTGCGAGGGCAGCACGTAGATGTCGGCGAGGTAGCCGATGGTCACGTAGTCGGTGACGACGCGGGCGAGCCCCACGAGCGCGGGACCCTTTTTGCCTGTATGGGCTTAGGGTTGGGAAAAAGAAAACCGAGGAACCGAATCAAGGATGAGGGGGGGGGACGGAGGTTGGGGGAGGCGACTTACCTGCAATGTCGGCGGTGGCCGCGGGGAGCTTGTAGACGCCAAGGCACAGCGAGTTGTCGACCAGGCGGCGCAGGGCGGCCTCGGGCACCCGGCTCGTCCACCACATCAGCTCCGAGTCGAATGCGTCGTTGATGGCTCCGAGGTCGAGGAGGGACCGGTCGGTGGAGATGAGGTAGTCGTCGCGGTGCCACTGCTTGGAGATCTGGTTCGGCATCGTAAGGAAAAAAAGGGGGGGAGGACAATTTGACATGTAGGTGAAGGATACGTTGAAACCGTTGGCACCGGCGTCTCTCGTCAGTGGGAAATAAAACCCGCTCTCTCTTCCCCTCGTCCCAAAAAGCTTGGGCTAACGAACCGTAAACTCGTGGCGCCATGGAGGGGGGGATCGAGCGTCTCTCCCGCCCATCGGCAACGTCATTTTCTGACCCGGATTAGGCCACCGTCGGAGAGTTCCAATGTGTTGTATGTTAGTGTGAACTAAATCTGAACCTAATCGCGCATCGGGCGTAATTGGCCGAGCTGCTGCCATAGTTTGCGCTTTTCGCGATGCCAACCTTTGAACCATAATCGAGAACAACCGTTGCCCTTCTTATCCGTCACCCCTTTGAACTAGGTCAATCTCTAATTCTATAAGCCCGTGGCCGTAAGTGAGACTGTCGCCATCTCATCCTTGATGCCAACTTTTCCATCGCAGAATCACAAGATGGATAGGCCTATCGACTGCGACCAGGACAGTATCGCTCCCTTTGCCACCGAACTCAGCAATGATCTCCGCGACCTTCCTCTGTGTGAAATGATCGACCGCAGGATCCGACACTTTTCTTAAGTGCGCTGAAGCCTGATGTTGAAGACCGTGGTGGTATGAGAGGGCAGTTTAGCCCCAATACGAAGCTCGTTACCAATCTCCTTCACCTGAATGATATCATAAACAACACCGATGGTGTTCTTGACTGTTTCTTCTACAGATGCGAAGGCGCGGACCACATACGGCCCCATGAGCTTCTGCTTGTTGACCGAGGTCGGGTGACTTTGTTATGTCACTGGATTCTGGAACCCCGTTTGTCGACGCGGGATACGACTGTCGGATTTGTGAGAAACGCGATGTCTACGTTATTGATCTTGATGATTGGCTTCAAACTCGACTCATTGAGCCTCGAAGCCAAGACCATTGCACGATCACCCACAATGGAAGCTTTGTAACATTGAAAGAGACCGTTGCGAAGGCCCAGAGGAGTGCCATGAAGATAAAGAACGTTTTGGAGAATCAAGTTTGACGAATATGACAATAGCAACTGGGTTGGCGGATAGGCCCGAGATGTTTCACTATGAGCACCGCAGCCACAGAGGCTGTAAGCAAGAAATCTGGCTAGCGGTAACCGTCGCAGATGAGAGAGACTAGGACATAGAGACGTAAACACAGTCGAAGAAAACTGCGGCGGCCAGAGTCCTTCTATTGAGGCTCTAGCTCAGCTTTGTTTTTGTTTTTATGAGTGAGACACTGGCCGATTAAGGCGGTGGTGGTGGTCGTCGTATCCAAGGAATTCAACCCCGAAATGTTCGCACAAATGACATGTCAAATGGAAAGCAGGTTGTTTCTTGGGATTTGGACAATTCCAGAACTACCATCTTTGATATTCCTGTTCCAAAAACACCCCGGCCACAGTGCCCTTGATGCACCATTGTCCGTCAATGTGGGATATTCCGACGTCGTCTCTTGCCTGCTTTACGATTCGAACCTTTGCTAGCGTTCGTCCTTCCTATAAAAAGCCTTCGTGGTTCTACCCATTTCTCTCACTTATCCTTCACCTTCATAACACCTACTTGCTCCCTCTTCTTCTTCTTTCTTCACTCCATCCAGGTCTGTTCGATCCCCCTTAATCTCAACCCTCTCATCTCTTATTGCCTCTTCTGATTCCATCTCTGTTCAGCCTACTGACAACAACGGAAAGAAAAGCTTCCGCGGATGTGATAGCATTTGAAGAAAAACCATCTTCTTTACCCAAGTACACCGTATCAATTCGAGATACACCACTCTGAAAGCTGTCCACGGACCAAAGGTGACAAGTAACGAGTTGCTATCTTCTCGTCCTACATCGATACTGATAACTCTCTCGTGGAAACACAAGATGACTTACTATGATCGAGACGCTCTTGACACCTTCATCGCGGAAGTCAGCGGTGAGCTTCGCGATCGCCCTATGCGAGCAGCCATCGATGGCAAGATTAGACACTTTTTCAAGTGCATTGACGAAGCGGATTGGGATGGTGTGAGAATGCACTTGAGCCTCGATGCGAAGCTCATCGGCGACCTCGTCGGTCCGGGAGATATCTTCATCGGCATCGATCGCGTCATGAAATGGTTCACCGAAGCCAGAAACCACAACCAGCTCACTGCTCATCAACTTCTGCTCATTGACCGAGGTCGGGTTACTTGTTATGTCACTCATTTCTGGAGCTTGAATGCCGACGACATGGACAGCAAGCCTGAGTTCTGCAAGACACGCGAGGTCTACATCATTGATCTAGACGATAGTCATCAAATTCGACGTTTTGAGCGTCGATACCATGAGCAAGATGAACTGCTATTCGATGGAGGCTTTAAAGAAATGAAAAGGGCATTCGAGAAGGCCGAGTTGCACGCTATTGAACTGAAAGAGACTTTCTAAGAAGCCTATTTGAGCTACAGCAACTGAACCGATGAAAGGTATGGGGATATTGGCGGTGGGACACATGGAAAATAGCGTGGTCGTCGAATTGCAACGCTATCCGATATCAATAGAATCCTCTTATTTTATTTTATCATTTTCCTTACTTCCAAGAGCCATATTTGATTCCCATGTGGCTTTTCCCTACGACCTACTAACTCCCTCCTATGCCCTGGAATGGCTTACCACAGCGTCGTGGACATCTTTCGAGGACAAAAGTTATGAAGCCACAGGTCCCAGGTGATCCCCCCCCACCTTGGAACCCGACCAGCCGTCGGAGCCCGAGTGAGCCATTGCAACTCCGACACCATCAACGGCACAAAGGATAACTACCTCGGCAACACCCTGATCGACGGCTTCATGGACTTTCAGAAGATCTGGATGGAAAAGTGCTGAAACCGAGGGGGGATCTCAGCCCTGGCGTAATGGCTGAGTCGATAGGCTCTCGTCCTGTTTTCCAGGCCAGTAGCTATTTGCTGACTTGTAAGAAACATAGATGCCATTAATGAATTACGTTGTACGGGCTGGAAAGGTGTTCCTACATGGTAGCTGGTTTCCCGGACGACAGGAGCCCGCTTTTGGACACAAAGACATGTTCGATGCAGCATGTCAAAAGTCACGCAACGTAGCCACTGGCGCTTTCTTGATACTGGTTATATAGGTATGTATGAATCATCAAGAATCCTCGCTTGATGGCTATGCGGTGCTAGTAGGAGCTCTGTAGGTCAAATAGTGCAGCGAAAGAAATCAGATCCCAAGTTCTCGACTGCGCTTCCTCATCCCCTTCCTTGAGACATGATCCTTTTGACGTCTTCGGTATCATATGATAACAGACGGGGCGATCGAAACCAGCCTGTCGAGTAGTTTACCAGCCCAAGAGGGCGAAGAGTTGCTTGGCACGATCGATGGTCCAAGACCGCCAGGTGTCCTCCAACGAGTACCATCCCAACTTGACGTCGACCGGGTAGCGTTCCGGCTTGTAAATCTTGAAGTTGCGCTCGTCGAGGGCCGTGTGACCAGTCTGTGCTGCGGGAAAACTGTTCTGTCGGGCGATCCCCGAGGCCATGTTTGCCCAGAGGCGGTGGATGATGGAAAGATGACTGCCATCAGACGGGTGGAACCAGGAACTGCCAAAGATGTCGGCTAAGGAGGTTGAGTCAAGGACGGCATCCGAGTGGGACATCGGACGCGATAGAAGTGGCCGGCTGGGATGGCTATTCATCTCGCCGGTCATGTCGCCGAACAGCCATAGCTTTTCGCGGGGCAGAAACATGCTGGCGCTGAGAGAGTGGACCTTGAGGCCGCCGGGGTTTGCGTCGTAAAACTCGCCGGCGTTGTCGAGGTAATCGAAGTAGGAGGTGTGCTGAATACTGCGGAAGTGATCAAGGCTGCCAATCTCGATGCGAGTGTCGACAGTACACTCCTTGTAGTTGAAAGCAAGCCGGGGAGCGTCGGCGTCAATCGTCGAATGGGAATGGTACTGCTCATCATCAGCCTCATGGGAAACACCGGGGCAAACGCTTCCCTCAGTCTCTGAACCACCGGTTCTGCAGGCTCGGGTTCGAAAGTCCAAGTCCTGGTCCAAATGGACCTCCTCCTTTTGACCAACATGGTACTCGGAAGAAAAGCTGGGTTCGCTCAGGTTGCCGCCGTCGGTCAGAATCCAGGTAATATCGGCTGCCGGTCGAACCAGTTCGGGGTGCTCAGCCATGAAGGATTTGGTACTCCGCCACAACTGCTTTGAATGCCCTTCGTCTTGGGAGGGCATCTCATTGAAGCCGTAGGTGATGCCGTGGTCTCGCATCAGGCGGAAGACGTCGAAGTTGATATCGCACATAAACTGGGTCTGGAAGACCAATCATGTCAGTCACATAAGGGAATTTCATGGGAGCCAGAAGCCAACTTACACCAGGCTCGACCATCCAGAACCAGTCGTAAGCCTGGAGACGTTTCTCGCGTGCAAATGGACCAGCAGACCAGCGTCGGCTGTGGTGGGAAACTTGTGTTTGGGCTGTATCAGTGTCCACTCTCTAGGTGTGCACCACACCCGCATGGAAGCGACCCAGTTCAGCCTGGCGAGAGACAGACCAGTGTTGCTGAGTGATCAAGTTGTAGGTGACAGTTCCGGTAGTGGCGTTGGAAGTGGCATCCTTGAAGTCTTCGCTGAGCTCTTCAAAGCTGAAGAACACCCAGTCGTAACGGTACTTGCTATTGAATCGCTGTTCAAGCTGGGTGACCGACTCCACCATCTGATCGAGCTGGTTCTCGGACACAAGGGCAACAAAGGCAGCTCTCGGAGAGGCGTTGCGAACGTAGAGAGGCCCAGAACACGCTGACGGAACCTGGAGAAGGGCCAGGAGGATCGTGAATATGAGAGCGTACCAAGATGGCAAGACTGACCTGCTGCGTCTTGCCATCCTGACTGATGGCCGTGGGGATGAAGATTGGAGATTGAACAAGCGAAATCGCAGATGTGAGGAAATCGGAAACAAAGACAGAGAGGAATCGAGATCCCGCCAACAGAAGACAGGAGAAGAGTGTTTTGCAAGTCACTCGAGGCTGAGACAGTGTTTGCTTTGGAGAGGTTGTTGTGCGGTTTGTTCAGGGGAAGATGTGTGGATGGCAGTGATCTTGACTGAAAGTGAAGTCAAGGCAGCCAATAGTGTGATATGCTTATGACGGCATTAGCACCTCGCTTAGCTTCTTCTTTGTATAAAAGGCAGGAACAGTTCATTGTGCCTTCTAGCACACGTGATATCCTTCACCGACAGATGTGCGCCTCAGGCGCCCAAGTGAAGCCTGGGTGATGCTATTACGGACAGAGGACATCCTCCACCGGGCACGTGATGCCACGCTTTCTACCCAAAGCCCTAAGTTTTTCCAGAACAGATTTCGCTCAAGAGATTCGGTTTTACTAATACACACTAACAGGAGTACACCCGCTGGCGTGAGTTGACAAATCCTGATCTGAACGAAGAGCCCATTGACACTGTCGATAACAAGGGTATGGGGATCCACTAAGTCACTATTGTCACTTTTCAGCCTTTGTGGCCCTAACATCGAGACTTGATTCAAGAATGTTCTTCTATATTCCTTATCTGTTAGGTAAGGAGGATTTGTGTAAGGGGTTATCTCTTTGTCATGTAACCTCCTTCCTGATTAGGAGCCTTGCGACCCGGTTTCGGGACAGTCATTTCTCTTTACATATGCATGTTGGAGATACATTTAGTTCTAGAAGATCCTTCGTAATGCTACTGGTTCATGTCGGCCATACTCCGCACTATGACAGGGGCTATCGATTAAATGCTAAGGGTCGTATAAATTAACGGCTAAATTAGGACTTAAATAACATACTCCAAATCATCCCCAGTTAAACTCTACGAGACCAGCTTCCTGTGCATCAACTCCGCTTGCCCTTCCCCGACCTACGACTCTTTACTTTCTCATCACATTTTCCAGTTTAGCTGTTGAGTCTATAGCTTTGTGATGGTTGTCAATGTAAACTACGCCGGCTTTGAACGTCGGCTCTCTGTGGTTCAGCAAGTCCTCCATGGCCGCGGGCTTCAGGTTGGTGATCAGTACTGCCATGCATCAACTTCTCTCTCACTAACTGGGCAACTTTTCCAACTTGCCGGTAGGCCTCCATCATCTCGACCCTGGCTTATGACGAAGAGTACGCATATCCCTTTAACAACTTCCTCTTCAAAGTAGAGCTAGCGACGCCGGCCTTCGCATCATCGTTTCCGGGTACTCAACCTGGCACATGCAAAGCTCCGCTTGAAGGCGTCTCCACGCTAGTCATCAAACTTAGCAACCTCGCGGCCCACGACGTGAACAATACCAACCGCGTAGAGAATGACGTCGCTTCACAGCACCTTGTTCGTGAGTCCATGGAAAAGAGCGGGCTTGATCCACTAATACCGGATGTTTACGCCTGGGTGCCTGCCACAACTACTGACCAAGTAAACGAGGAGGGGTTTGGTTGGATCATGTCAGAGTTCCGGAGCGGCGTTGATCTTGGTCCGGAATTCTCCTCTCTTGACATGGAAAGTCAGAAGCATGTCTTGGAGCAGATGGCTGCCGTTCTTGGGGCCATACAAGCAGTAGATCTCCCGCAAAGCGTCACTAAGTTTGGCGGCGGACTCAAGTTCGACCAGAACGGCGCTATTGTGAGCGGAGAGTCGTCATCTATGCAAGATGTGAGACCCACTGGCTCATACGCGGAGTGGAGAATAGAAAAGCTGCGTTCCCGCATCAAACAAGCTGCCGAAAGCTCAGTTATCCAAGGCTGGGAAAGCAATGGCGTTGACGCCAGGATCGAAAAGTTTCTCGCCAGCGGCGGCCCAGAGAAAGTGCTTAGTATTGTTGATATACACAAAAAGTTTCTAATACATGGAGACTTGAGTATGTATTCTAATCCTGAGTCTAGTCAGCGTCAGACTGATATCCCTAGTAGCCATTTACAACATGCTCTTTGATAAGAAGGCCAAGAAAGTCACAGCAGTTCTTGACTTCGACTTTGCCTCCGTTTCTCACCCCTTTGAAGAGTTCATCTCCATGTCTTTCAGCCACACCGGTGGAAATATTGGCGACGACGACACCGCGATCAACCAGGCGATTCTCTCAGGCGACTTCACTACGCCACCTGCAGACCTAGATAAGGAATCTCTCAAGGAGTGGGAGCTTGCTAAAACGTGGAATTCAGTTTTACAGGAGAGTGTCGCTCTTGCTCCGGTCCAGATCGACGGCGTTAACCAGATCCGTGACCTTATGCGCTTGCAGAGGTTCCTGTGTCCATACTGGCTAGGCAGCGCGTCAGTTCTCGAGGAACATGACGAGGTGAAGAGAGCCGAGCTTAGGGTAAAGGCAGAAGCAGACCTTGTAGGCTGGCTTAAGAAGCACGGGTATTAAGCAAAAAAGATATCATGAACATGATGCTAGAACAAGGTGCAATGCCATTAGAATCCCTATCCATCTTTAGACTGGTCAAATGGGTGAAGCTATAACACTAGTCCTGTTCGACTATTGTATGATTGTTGGCAATGGCTTGCAGTGCACCGGTCTACAATTGTCTGCTGAACACTTTACAATTCCATCCTCCATGTTTCTCCAATATGCCTAATTCCCCACTCTTGATGTTCTGTCTTACTCTCTAGCCTGAACCCAAATTTGGCGTACAAGCGGCGCGCGGAGCCAGACAAGTTGGTGGTTGACAACACAAGATGCTCATAACCCAATTCCTTTGCCGTATCGATGCAGCCTGTCATCAAACTGGTTCCCAAGCCAGATCCTCGCGCACAGTCCTCCACCAAGAAGCATCTCACTCTTGCTGTGCTTGGTGTTTCAGGCTCTTTGATGAGCATGATACACCCTAGAAACTCCCCGCCTGTCTCGGCAGTCCAGCACTGCTCCTTGTCAGGGTCGTAGTTGCAAAGGAAGTCAGATGTGATCCTGCCCACATGCGCTTCAAAATGCCTGTTGAATCCGAACTCTTTTGCATAGATTACTCCATGTCGATAGGTGATGTAACCTATGTCACCAGCGCGGTGGCCCCGTATCTCTATGTGTTGGTGGAGGAGCCCATGGGTCACGTGACCCACCTCCACCTCCTTCTTGGGCAGCCTCTGCCTACTGTAGGTAGCCTACTTCTAGTTAGCTACATATTACTAATATTAACGGATATTGCTTTACCTTGCTGCTCCTATAGGTTATGAGGCCTAGGTTGATACTAATTAATTTTCTTTATGATTAATTGATTAGCTGCTTTTGCCCCTTCTTTTTTGCTTTTTTAAATGGTCTATGGTAATATTTATGAAACGTTGTGATTACTGCCTGTATTACTGTTCTGACTGCCTGTCTGCTACAGTTGCGTCACCTCTTAATAATAATAATAAGTAATAAACTCAAAATGTTGCTTCTACCTTTATCTATACCCCTTTTTACTTAGACGTCTGATGAACAGTAGTAATTTGTGTAATAATTTAGATATGCCCCTTATCCTGTAAGGGAAACGTATAAAGTTTAATATATTATTAGGCTACCTGTGGTCTAGGGGAGACTTTTATCTATATTATATATTATATTATTCTTCCTTGCGTTAGTAATTAACTACTATTATAGCTAACAAGGTTAACTACTAAACAGTTATATAGTCTGTTCTTAAGCTTAAGGGGGAGTTAAACTAGTTATAATAGTAAGTGCTAGTTAATATATTACTTTACGCTACTAAAGTTAAGAAACATGTTAATTATAAAGTCCTTTAACTAGTAATTAATACTAATAAGTACAAGAATTAGGAAAATAAATATAATACTATCTATAGTATTATTATTAGCACTTATAACCTTATAATTATTAAGCTCCTTAACATAGGATAAGTTAATAATAGTAACCTATATACTCTTATAAAAACACTTAAGAAGTTTATCCCTAAGGTATCTAAAGATGCTATTACTACCCTTATTAATAAGTTTAGCAAAGGTAGTGCCTAAGACTATAAAACCCTTTATAATGCCTTTATAAAGGTTTAATACCTTTAAAGCTATATTACTAGCCTCTATAGTAAAAACTTTAACTACTATTAGGCTATTCTTATACTTAACTACTTTAAGATATAACTACTAGATACCTATAAGTACTATACTAATAATAATAAGATATTTACCTAGGCAAAGGTTATTAAGACTATCTATACTTTTACCTAGGATAAGGAATAGAAAATAGGACTTATTATATACTATAAGAATACTACTAATCTAATAGTAACCTCTTCTAGTGCTAACTAGGGCACTACTTTTACTAAGAATATTACCTATAGTAGTTTTTGCCTTTATTATAAAAAAAACTACTTTATTATAAAGTGTTAGACTACTTACCTAGAGCTAGTTTCTGCTAATTATCCTTATTATAATGCTCTTTTTACCTATATAACTAAGTATATCTATAACAAGGATTATAAAGAAGAATTATCTAACTTATTATTAACTTTTATTTTTATTAAAGAAGCCTTAGGTACTCTTAGTAGCTCCTCTATTACTAGCCTAGCTATAAAGCCTAGCTATATAGTATATATAGCTATTAACAACAAGGTTATTACTACCTCTAATATTATACTAGATTTAGGCTACTTTAACCCTATATTTAACTTATTAACTTACTTTATATCCTATGTAGTCTACAGTAACCTTTAACCTTTTACTGCTATAAACAGTAATTAAGTATATCTAGAGAGTAGTAGCACTGTTTTCTTCTAGACAAAGGATCTAGTTAACCTAACTTAGACTATTAACTAGACTATTAAAGATATTAAGTATAGCCCTCTTAGCCTAGCTAACCTTCTTAGCCTAGGTAAGTTACATAAGGCAAATATTAAATATAACTATACTACTACTTATATTATTAACACTAAATCTAAGGCCTATTTAGCTACTATTAAATAGATCTTAGACATCTATATTCTTTATATAACTAATAGTCTAACTATACCTATAGTAACTACCCTTAGATTAGCTATAGTTAAAGGCAAGTGCTAACTAACCCTTAAGATAATATATTACTAACTTATTTACGCCTATTTATTATAGGTTATTAAGGCCTACTGTTAAGTAGGTATATAATTTATATAGGCAAAGATTAATAACTTTTACTATAAGGCCTACTACTTAGCTAAATCTATAAAGCTTATTAGCTATAATACTCTATTACCTTTTACCTTTATAAGTAAAAAAATTTATCTTAACTTTATTAAGGTTAAACCTTTTTTTAAACTTAGTATATAATATACCTTTTACTTTTTAACTATTATAGTAGTTATTACTAGCTTACTCTATTAAAAACCTATTACTATAAGGTTATTCTTAATACTATTAAGAAGTTTAGTACTATATTTACTAATATAATAGGTCTCTTAATTAAAGGTTAAATATATAATAATATACTTAAGCTTAAGAAAGTGCTTTATAACCCTTTCTTTAAAGGCACTTAACTTTACCTAACTACTACCTATACTTTATTAATAAATAGCGTAATTAAATATACTAGCTATACCTTTATAAAGGCTACTTATACTCTACTTATTAATAATAGCCTACTAGAGGATCTCTAGGACTATACGCTTAATACTATAGTCTAGATCCTTAACCTACTGCTATAGTTAACTAAGGGTAAGATAAGCCCTTATAAGATTATTGCCTATAAGCTTAACCTTGCTGCTAACTAAGAACCTCCTTAAATTAAACACCTTTGTACCTTTAGTTACGTTATATATATATATAAGAAGGGTAGTAAGTGCCCCCTTATTCTATAAAAATAGAACCCTATGTAATAAAAGGTTACCTTGTTAGCTATAGCTCTTTATATAGTTATATCTACTATATTTATATCTTTAATTAAAAGTAAGTTATCTATTACTATAATATTTATTTTTATAAAGAGAAGAAGAAGACTATTCTTTACCCTATTACTAATGTAAATATCCTAGTAGATGCTAACTATAATGTGCTCTTTAATAAGCTTAACCTCTAGATTTAGTTTCCTAGCTAAGTCCTTAATTTTTACCTACTAGTTACTAAGACCCTATAAAACCAGTAGGCTAACTAAACTAATAGTAGCACCTTTAATAGTAAGTATATTAATAATACTACCTATATAACTTTACCCCTAGAGGACACTACTATACTTATCTTATTACTTACTAATAAATAGCCTATAAATAAACACCTAGATAAATAGGATAATAACTTTACTAATAATAAGTTTTATAAAGTTATCTAATAGGAGGCTAACTACTTTCCTCTAGTTATAAAGAAGAATAAGCTAGACCTTATTATTAAGGCCTCTGCTACTATATCTACTACTAAGCATATTACTACTAGTTACCTATATTACACTAGTGTAGTAAAGCTGCCTAGCTACTATTATAAGATAATAGGCATCTAAAACTACAAGAAAAAGGTATATCTTTTAGCTAATATTTAGGTACACTAAGATAGTTAAAGTTACTCTATTAGTACCTTTATAGTAGCTATATTATTAAAGGTACTACCTACTAGTTATAATATACTTACTACCTTTAAGAAGGTAAAGAAAGGCCTATACTAGCACTATTAGAAATAAGCCTATAATACTAAGATCTAATAGTTTAATAATAAGGAGGTATATACCCTTATTAACCTCTTAACTAGAGCTAAAGTGCTACTAAGTAAATAGGTATTTAATATTAAGACTAACGTAAATAATAAAATTATACGCTTTAAGGCCTAATAGGTAGTCTATAGTAACTTTAAGTAAGGTAATTAGTTATTATAAGAGGTATATATAGCTATAGCTACTACTACTACTATTTACCTCTTTTTTACTATTATTACTCTTTATAGATTAAAGTATAAGATATATAACTTTAATATTACCTTTCTTACTACCTTTGTTCCTACTAGTACTAACGTCTATATTAAATAACCTACTAGTTACACTACTACTAATAATAAGGTCTAGTTACTCTAAAAGGCTCTCTATAGTCTATGTAAGTTACTACTATAGTAGTTTATACTTATTAAAGGTAAAATAAAGAAAATTAGCTTTTAGCTAGTTAAAAGGGAGATCTACCTCTTCTATAACAAGGACCTTAATGTCTATGCCTTAATATATATTAATAATAATACAGTAGCTACACCTACTACTAAGATAACTAGGAAGGTATATAATATACTTACTAAGGTCTACCTACTAAAGGACCTTAGTAAGGCCTCTTAATTTCTTAGCTTTTAGATTTAGCGCTCTACTACTAATAAGATTTATATTAATTAATATAAGTATACTAAGGGTATACTTTATTACTTTAGCTATAGTAACCTCTAGCTAGTTAAGACTCTATTGCTTACTAACTAGGACCTTTTTATTACTTAAAGTAAGGATAACTACACTAAAGCTAACTAATAGCTTTATATTAAATAGACTAGCTACCTTAACTAGTTAGCTACTAGTATACACCTAGATATTACTTTTATAGTTAGTAAACTCTCTTAGACTAATACTAGCCTATTACCTACTTATTAGGTAGCTATTAAGCACCTTTTTTACTACCTTAAAGGCACTACCTATTATAGTATCTTATTTAGTAGACTTAACCCCTTTACTAACGTTAGCCTTTATACTATAGTAGATACTTCTTTTACTAATAATTACCTATTATAAGTATCTATAGGTAGTTATATTATCTACTTTACTAGCTTACTAGTAGCCTAGAAGTCTAAGTAATAAACCTTTGTTACTTTAAGCTCTACTAAGGCAGAGTTTATTAACCTTACGCTAGTAGTAATTACTATAAAGTAGATTTATTACTATACTAAATAGCTCCTTAGCTAACCACTAGATACTCTAACTATCCTCTTTACTAACAGTACTAACGTAATAGTTAACGTTATAAATCCCCTTAATAAAGTATAAACTTAAAGTATTAATATCTAATATAAATAGATAATCTAAGAGGTTTACACCTACAAGAATATTACCTTTTAACTTATTTATAGCACTAAGATAACTACTAATAGCCTTATAAAGGCATTAGCCTTAAATAAACATAAGGATTTTATTAGACTACTAGGTATAGTAGATAGGTTAAATTAATAGGTTATATATATATACAGATAGACTATATAGATAATAGGTTATATAGATTATATAAGCTTATTAGTGTATAGATAAATTATTACTAGACTAATAGGCAAATTACTGGCCTTTTGCTGAAGTTATTGTATACTTTAAAAACTCCTTAGATTTGGAGGATTTAGGGTTGGGTAGTTATTTGCCCCTATTGTTATAGTATATAGGAGTGGGCTAGCAGAGCCTGAGGGGGAGTGTTGGTGGAGGAGCCCATGGGTCATGTGACCTACCTCTACCTCCTTCTTGGGCAGCCTCTGCCCACTGTAGGCAGCCCACTTCTAGTCAGCTACACATCACCAATATCAACGGATATTGCCTCACCTTGCTGCTCCCACACTATGGTTCCTGAAAGGGTCATGTTGTTGTTTGAAACTTTCATAATGACAAGTATTACAGTTGCAAGGCGAGGTTGAAGATCATAAGTCAGCGGGATAATGTGTAGTTCTGGCCATAGAGGCCATTTTAGTTGGGTGAGTTGATTCGCCTTATTATTAGAAAAGGAATCAGACATAGTAGTGGAGCGGTGAACACCGCGCCCGTCGTTCATTGGGCGCAGAGGAATGTCAAAAGCATGTCGTTGATGTCGCTGAAGGGCGCAGTAACTGCATGCGCCAAGCCTGCATGTAACGCCATTTCATAGCAAGAAAACAAGCCTAGCAGTCACGCTAACAATGAAGTCCTAAAATCCCCATTTTTGGCGATGCCAAGTCAGCTCAAATGGTAGCGCTGCCCTCAAACTTAATGGATTAGTACCGGTTGAGTATTAGGACAAGGCTTAGACCCAAAACGCATTATTGCTACTTGAATGCTGCCTTTAGGCCACCTTTTCAGGTCTCAAGTCCCTTTGCTCTACCCGTGATGGTAACTACCAAACACCCCTGGCTTATGACAACGATGACTGTACCTTGTCGAACACGGACAGAAAGGGGACACATGGGGAGGGTACGCCTAGTCTCTAGAGAGATCGTAGGCCAGCCGTTATATGAGGTTTCCCTCTTCCTTGAACGCGGCCGACGAACCCATAATCAGAGTCCAAAGCAGTACCCGGAGAGATAGACGTCATGTCTGATACAATCGTCGGTACTAGTGCTTAATACCAATTGCAAGTTATTCTTTTCCCAAAGCTGCGCAAACAAGCAATCCGAGGTGATGAGTTCAATCTCTTTTGCAAATAATAATTTTTGTCTGCCAAGTCTTTTACTACTGACTGGGCAGCTTCCAGCAGCTCATAAGAAATCAGCTCGCTGGTGCCCAAGCCTAAGGCATGCTAGTGAGTCTAGATTCTGCGCATACCCGCGATATCAATGCCGGCGATGAACTAGGGCCTCGTAAAGCTCTGAGCAATTGTTCGATCACTGTCATAACTAACTAACGGCAATTGCAAGGCAATTCCGAGCTCCGGTTTTGAGGGTCTGGTGGTGATGCGAACTGAAGGACAAGGATCCGACAACTCTTCTTGCAAGCATGGCCACGGAAGAGCAAGGGAGCTTGTGTGGGTTTGAGAACATTTCAACCTATATCCCGACAAAAGAAAAGTCTGCGAGTCTTCGGGATGCGAGTTTTCGCATTGCGGTATTTCCCCGTCTCGAAGCCCTTGATTTCAATCTTAAGAAACGGCATAGACCATTGTGTTATCCATTGAGATTAGTCACGCCAAAGACGGAAAGGTGACGATACCCGTATCTCAGACCCAGGACCACGGTATCGGAGGTGGAGTCGACCGAAATTCGCCGTCGCTGAATGCTGGCCCGAAACAGAAGGTCATCAGTGATCTGCAGAGAAAATATTGGACAATGTTTATCTGCAAAATGGGGGTGGCTGGTCTACCCTAGGTCCCCTGCCTTGTGGAGTGAGGAATGAGTCTTGATATGTAAACGTAAGAGCATCTTCGCCTTTGCGCTCATTGTTTCGTCACTCCCGAGTCTTGGGGTGCTCTCACGAACGCTGCCGCCATGTTGGTCCGCCTGCTCATCTCCAGTCTGGCAGTGCTTGTCGGCGCCTCGCCCCTCACGGCCAAGAAGCTCATCGCGTCTCGAAACCCGAATCAGACCTGGGAGATCTTGCCCACCGGGAGTGCCCAGCAATTCAGAGGTCTGTCGCCGGTGTCGGACAAAATTGCCTGGGTCTCCGGGACAGGAGGCACTGTTCTACGTACCGTCGACGGCGGCGCTTCTTGGGAATCAGTCGGCCCCGAGCTCACGGGCGCTGATGCCGAGTTGCAATTCCGCGACGTCCAGGCCTTTTCCGCAGAAAAAGCCATCATCCTATCCATCGGCGAAGGGGCAGATTCACGCATATACATCACCACCAACGGCGGCGGATCATGGACGCAGACATTCTCCAACACCGAGCCCACGGCATTCTACAACTGTATCGGTTTCGAGAACGAGGAAAGGGGGATCGCAGTCAGCGACCCCGTCGACGGCAAATTCCGGCTGATCGAGACCGTTGACGGGGGTGATTCGTGGCATGCCGTGGACCCCAGCGGCATGGCGCCCGCGTTGCAGGGGGAGTTCGGTTTCGCTGCCAGCGGGACCTGCATTTCCACGGCGGCGGGACGATGGTATCTGGCATCCGGCGGCGTTGACCCGGGACGAGTCCTCCGGAGTCCGGACGGACACCACTGGGAAGCATCGGCCAGTGCGATCGCCGGCGGCGCGTCGGCTGGCGTGTTTTCCGTACGGTTCAGAGATGCAAACCACGGCATCGCGACCGGCGGTGACTTCAACGTAGCAAATGGCTCCGCCCACACATCAGCATGGTCGGACAACGGCGGAGAGACATGGACGGCGTCGGAGGTGTTCCCGGGCGGCTACCGGTCAGGAGCGTCATGGGCTCCAGGGTTGTGCGGAGTAGCCGTCGCTGTCGGTCCCTCCGGCTCCGATATCACTCTCGATGGCGGGCGGACATGGAAAACATTCGACACAGGCTCGTTTGATAGCGTCGAGTGTCTTTCAAGTCGGGTTTGCTGGGCCTCCGGGTCCGCCGGAAGGGTCGGAAAGCTTACGCTAAAGTAAGGGGAAATAATGCTCATCTTGCATGACGAGTCAGGCCTTTTCCCCCCCTTCTTTTTCCAGCGAGAACAACAAGTTAATACCAATCACCAAACACAATCTCTTGCATATCGCGAGACTCGTTGGGTTTTCATATCCTTGGCAATGACCAGCAGTAGGCAGGCATGCGAACTGCCTGAATATCTTCAGGGCCAAGCTGGCCATTCAGAGCTTGAACCAGTGAATCCATTGGCGGAGAAGACACCGATGTGTCTAGCCCGTTTCAGCAAGGTTCGACACAGGAAGCGATATCCTGCGTTTCCATGACCCCTGACATGTTTCTGCACTAACAACACAGCGAAGAAATACTGTGAGGGCTGGTTAATGCAGCTTACCGCCGAGGGACTCCGAGACGGCACGTACCTGAAACGGATCCAAGCGTGCCTCGTTTGAGCTCACTTCCAATCAACAACTCGCGCGGGAAGAGCTAACATCCCACCTTGCCCATTGAGGACCCCCTGGTTGATAGGGAGGTTAAGTTACCGGACTCCCCGGCACTGTCTGTGTCCCTTCTACAGAACCATCTTTTGTTATGCTGAGTACTCTGTATTGTGCTTGATACTAGCGTTTCTTTGTTATGGCGTACATATGCTATTATATGACTACTTGCCGCCTCGGCTACGTGTCTCTGAGTAGTGTGATGGATTACAAAACGCAAGCAGGTTGACAGGTGACTAACATGCTCAGCCTAGAGAGGCTATGCAAGCCAGGCGTCATGGCCGTGGAGCCTAGACCAGCATCCCCGCCGATTACCCTGACCGGTACGGGGTCCCAAACTACACACGGATACGGGGTGATGGAATCGAGACACCCAGTTTCCACCATGCAACTCCGTTTCTCCCCATAAGACCCTTACGTGCCCTGCCCTTCATTCCAGCGCCGGCGATGTGTGGGACATGTACCTAGAAGCCCCAGGGTCGCCTCTCTTTCCTCACAAACCACTTTGCGACGGCCGTTCGTGACAATGGCCGGAAGCCTCCACGGCCAAATCATCGAGTCACTGACGCCCGGGCGCGTCTTTGGCTCGCTCTTCCTCGTCTTTGTCGGCCTGCTCGTTCTCGACCACACATGGAAGCCGACGTACCCGGAAAACATCCCCGTTGTCGGCTACGGGAAGGGCACTCTCGCGAGCCTTCAGAACTTTTGCTACTATGTCTTCCGCTACCGCGACTGGGTCATCGAGGGCTACCAAAAGGTTCGTTCGCACCATACCCCGCCATTGGGGACTTCCGGGGTGTTGGAGGGTCTTTGTTGACACGCAATGCGACAACGTAGTACAACAAGCAGAACCGCGCCTTCGTCGTCCCCGCAGCCGCAAGCCGCGCTCCCGACATCATCATCCCGCGATCTCTCACGAAGTGGCTGCTCGAGCACCCCGATTCCGTCGTCTCCGCGCACGAAGCGCACAACGATGTGCTGTACAGCGACTACAACTTCCTGGGCAAGGTCTACGCCGATGACGTCTGGCACACGCGGGTGATCCACAAGAGCCTTGCCCGTCACCTCAGCTCTTTGGTCCCGGGCATCGAGGAGGAGGTGGCCGTGGCCGTGGACAAGGCCTTCGGCACAGACGCCGATAACTGGAAGACCTTGAGCCTTTGGGAGGCATGGCTGACCATCGTACCGCCGGTGACAAACCGCATGCTGGTCGGCGAGGGCGTATGCCGAAACATTGGCTTCTGCAAGGCCATGGTTTCATTCGTCGACCAAGTCATCCTCAACTGCTTCGCGCTTCACATGGTGCCGCAGATTATGCTTCCCATATTCGGGCCTCTCATCACGCTGCCAAACTGGTGGATGTGGCGCAAGGCAGCCAAGCACAGCCTGCCTGTCATAAGGAAGCGCCTCGACGATATGGCCAAGAAAGAGGCGGGAGATCCGGCCTACGACGACTGGGTCGCGCCCGAAGACTTCATCACGTGGGACATCCGCATGGCCAAAGCCGAGAAGAACTACTTCGAGCTCGACCCCTACGTCATTTCGAAACGACTCTTGCCCATACAGTTTGCAGCAATCCACACCACCGTCATCACCGGCCACGGTATTGTCCTTGATTTGCTAAGCTCGGATCCCGCCAAGGGGTATATCGAGGGCATCAGGGAAGAAGCGGCCCGCGTGCTGAAGGAAGAGGGCGGCCGCTGGACCAAGAACGGCCTGTCGCGGCTCTACCGCCTCGACAGCGCCATCCGCGAGAGCCAGAGGCTGAGCAACTTCAGCTGTACTTTGATGGAGCGCAAGGTCATCGCCGAGGAGGGTATTACAAACGAAGAGGAGGGCTGGCATCTGCCCAAAGGGACGTTCCTGACCGTCAACCTGGAAGGTCTGCACCACGACGATGATCTCAACCCCAACGCAAACGAATACGACGCCTTTCGCACAAGCCGGCAGAGGGAGGAGTATGAAGCGAAACCGCAGTCGGAGAGGTCTCTCGAGGAGGGGCTGAGGCTGAAGAACCTCGGAATGGTCACAACGAGTGACGCCCATCTTCCTTTCGGGCATGGGCGACACGCATGGTAAGCTCATCGATCACCTTTATCAAGCCTTCACTTCGCAGTTGATCTCCTGAGACTAACTCGTCCTGCCACAGCCCAGGGCGCTTTTTCGTCGCCCACGAGTTGAAGATGGTGGTGGCCAATCTGCTTCTCAACTACGACTTGAAGCCGATATCCGAACGGCCGAAACCGCAGTGGATAGGCGTGACAGTAGTCCCGCCGGTGGATGCGAAGATCGAGCTGAAGCGGAGGAAAGGCACGGTTTAGATGAGCCCAAAATGGATACGGTAATGTGGCGTAAGGGTCAGGAAAAGGCATGGGAGGGGTAGGGACACTCTAGACATAACCATCAGCTAACATTGCCTATACTTAATGACAACAACCGGTCTCCATACTCGAATGCAAGAATGGTGTTTTTCTTGCACTGCTAATGCGTGGGTGCCTTGGATTGTAGAACTCCTGGCACTGGTCCTCTTTAGATATCTCCCCTCCTCGTCCCCATCATATCTTCAGTGCACCTGGAGTTGATTGGTCATGGCACTTTTCTTGATAAACTCGCATCTAGCGCAATTTTGGGTTCCATTGCCTAACTAAGCCAGCCAGCACTATGAAGGGTTACATCAAGTGGGAGTTCATCCGAAGCAATTCATATGCCACGGGAAAATGGTGTCCATTCTGCGCATACTTCGCGGCATCTTTCTTCAGCAAAGTCTCCAACGGTAATGCCATGTCAACCGGGAGCGACGTGCAGTACACCAACGTCTTTAAAACATACTGTGGAAAGGTGCCTCCTGCCCGAAGTTTGTGTCATAAGCGCTATCAACCTTCATGGGGCATGAAGAGGCGTCCCCAGGTGTAGCCTTCACCTTCGTTTGCGAGCTAGTCGATTATGAAAGGGCAATAAAGAAGTATGATCTTCTTCGCCTTAACTTGGCCTATGCAAACAACATCAGCTACCCGCGATCCCCTCGACATCGGAGGCAGGTTACCCTGGAGGTCTACGCAACTCTCAGCACGCAAAGCCATTGGGAACTCCATTTTTATTGTCGATAATAATCTCATGCGGTCGTTTTACGTGATCCAATGTCACAAAATCTCAAATACCGGCCGATCGATGTGAGGCCTGGCTTAGCCTCTAGCCTTGTAAATGTTAGACTGTGGCTGGAAGATTGCCTACAGGATCACAAGGGTTGTATGAGTAGGAAGCTTACCTTGGCAAAGCTGCCGAAGAGATTAATTGAGATTCTCAACGAAAGAGATCTAAGCCTCGTCGAGGGGGTGGATAAGGACTAGTATACGGCCCTCAGCCATTGTTAGGAAATGATCCAAACCTTTGTTGCAAAGCGCCAGAACCTTGGCCATTTAAGAACTGGCTTTGATATCTCGAAACTTCTACTCTTAATTCGACACGTTATTACAATCACCCACTCTATCGTATTGGAGTATATCTAGGTTGATGCCCTCTGCATCATTCAAAACGACCCTATCGACATGGAAGAAGAAACCCCGAAGAAGGCACCGTACTATCAAATGCGTCCTTAATTATTGCGGCAGGAGGACCTACATGTGATTCGAGGTTTATCACAGAGTCAGGTATCTGTAATAATCATTCGGACGCACCATTCCCCCAGATGTCACGAAGATGCCTATACTTTGTGCGAGTAAAAGAGAGATTACCTATCGAGGTTGGAAGACAGGGGAGTTTCTCGGGAGAAACAGCCTTACAACATGTAGATTGGACCGATCTCACGCCGTCATTGAGTACTTCAGAAGAGTATTGTCCCCCAGTGGTTGAATGAGTGATTCACCTAGGTTACACACTTCTCACTCAAGATATATATTTCTACAACTAAGCAACGAAGCTAGTTCCGTAAGACCCTTGGCCAAATGGTTATTTAGGACTGTCGAGTTGAGCCACTAAGAGGATAATAGATGGGTCAACTTGACGCGGGATATTTTCCTATTAAAAAGTGCGCAGCGACGTCCGAACCGGTATGTAAGCAGATTTTAGTTGTTCATGATAAGCTGAGAATAGAATATTGCCAGGAACCTTCAGGATAGGGGCCAAGAGCAGCCAACTCGCCCACCCAAGCCCTCGTATCTAACATCGGGTATGAGTGTTGACTGACTTTAAGCCAAGCCAAATTCAAGCTTCGCCACCAAGCCATGCCTTGACTACGAAAATCCTATGTGCACTGACTTGTATCTATCTGATGCAATCAGATCTATGCCGTATTATCCGCTTTTGACATCTAGTTCTCTCCCTCTGTCTGAGTGTGTCGTTGTCGTTGGTGATACATAACTAGGCATTGTGCCGTCCATTGTATTCAAGATCCAGATGTATTCTTCTCGAGTCGTGGTGATGGCTCGTTCATTGACATGCCCCATTTTCGCAATCGCAAGCGCCTCAAGAGTGATTTCTGACCAGACTTCTAGCGGAAATCGGTGCAAGTGAGGAATCGCCATGTGACAGCCTCTGGCAGAGGACATAATGATAACGGAGCAACAATGTTGCCGCGTGAGTATCGAAGCTTTTGGTTGAAGAGGCATTGGTCTGAGAGGAGGCCTTGAGGATCCGGTAACATCCCCATCTTCAAACACACCTTTGCTAGTGTAGTCGAGCACTGCAACGGAGCCAGTCTCAGAGAAAACGGCTCCAGTCCTTCCCCGGGACGTCGCCTGTTCTGACTTCAAGGGTCGGGTTGAACCCCTTGGTTGGAGCGGACTGACGCTTAGCAATATACTGGCACTTATTAGGTCACCGAGAAATCCTCTTTCGCAAGGACAAGAATCGTCAGTCCCAGAGGTTATAGTAAACTGTTCGTATCAAAATGTACCCGGGAGTGTTGAGTGAGGCCGCGTTGGTACTTACCATCCCATGAGCAACGGTCATTTGTTCACCGCATAATGTTTACCACTTGAACCCCTGCGCACATGTATAGTATGATGTGTAAGTAAGCAGCGGGCACTTCCGGAAGCACAATCTCTGGTAGTACAGCGAGTAAGGTTTGGGCCATCCTCTTGATTAATCCCACACCAACAGGGGCGTCCTTGAAACTGGCCACATTCTGGATCGTTCAATAGGGAATACTCTTAGGGCAAAAAGCGAGGGCACAGGCATTTCAAACCATTCAGCTGATCGGTACCGCAAGTCAAAAAGTGTTGTGCTTCCAGAAGGGTCCATTGACAAGGTTCAACCTTCCCACTGGATGTAATCTTAAGTAATAGGCTATACGGGCTGCATGAAGTCCGATACCCCGGACTTGATGTATCGGATGCATAGTGTATAGTCAATGTAGAGTTGAGGATACCCATGGGAACGATATTGATCATCCTGCTTTGCTAGCGTTGGGTCCTGGGAAACTTCTTATGGAACTAGCGACACCCTGGCTTCTCGTCATCAGGATCCGACGAGGAAGTCTGCTGCTATGGTTTTGCCCCAAAATCTCAGATTGTCGCGTCAAAGTAATCAGAGCGGCTGGTGTACAAGTAGCTCAGCACGTTAGATACAAGCGACGAGGGATGTATTCCAGAAAGCTTGATGTTGTGATGTTGACTATCGCGGATAAATATCGGAGTTATCAGGTTAACCCTGATGACTCATTGCCAGTAAATCCTTAGATATTTAGCTATAGATTCTCTAAGGATTTATAGGCAATAAGTTAGTTATTTAACTAACTAACCTATAATAATTATTCTTTTTTTCTTTATATATAATAGAGAACTATAGTTACTTTTATTATTTATTAATTACTACTAATATATATAGTTAACTATATTAACTTATCTTTTAGTGTTACTAATACTAATTAGTAGTTAACTTTACTATTAACTATATAAGTTAACTTTACTATCTAAACTATAGATTAGTAAGGTTTATAAGAAAAGGTAATTATTACTAGTTAATTATTTATATACCTAAAGTAGGTAAGTACTAAAAAACGCCTTTATAAATACCTTTACTATAATAGTTTATACTAATTACTTATTATAATAGGTTAATTAATAGATTTATAACTAGTCCTTTTAACTAATAAAAACCTTATTAATTTATATTTATTATATAAGCTTTATTACCTTTAGAGAAGTATTCTTAACTATAAAAAACCTTTTACTTTATATACCTATAGCTAACTAGTAATTATTTACTATATTTTATTTATTATAAGCTCTTTAGTTTATTAACTTTTTTTTTTTATATATTATAATAAGGTTAAGTAGTATAGTTATAAAAATTATATAGTAGTTAACTTAAGAGATAAATTAATAAAAAGGCTATTTACTTATTAAAAAAGGTATTTATAGACTTAAGAAAAGATTAGAAGAGATAATTATTTATATATAGTTATTATTATTAGCCTTAATACTCTATATAAAAATACACTACTAGTTATTACTATACTTTTATTTATTTAGTAAAATTTACTCTTTTTATAATTACCTTATTAATTTATACTTTTATTTTAGTATCTTTATAGATTAGGTCTAAGAATTATAAGACTTACTAATTAATATATATATTATTATTATTAGATATTGTTATAGTGTAGGTAGTTTTTCTATATTTTACTATTCCTCTTTTCCTTTGTTAAGTAGCCTAGATACTTTGCCCTTTCTTAATAGTGCCTAGAGGTAAATCTATTTCTTTAGTATAGGTATTCTATACTAGAGTATAAATAGGCTCTTCTATATAGTTATAATAAATTTATAGTTAATATAAATATAACTATAATATATTATTACTATTTAGTAAAGCACTTACTTAATTAATAGTAGAATTAAAAAAGATATAGTAGCTATATACTTTTATAGACTAATTTATAAAAATAAAATAGACCTTAAAAGCCTCTCTTAAAGTAGTAGGAATACACTAAGATTTATTAAGTATATATATATTTTTTTTCTATTTTTAACTTCTTTTTTTATTTTATATTTTCTTTTTTTAATTATAAATATATAAAATAGATTATTTAATTTATAAAATAATTTATAAATCTAAAATAAGCTAATATAGATAATTAATAGTAGTCTTACTAAGCTAATAAGTAAAATATAGGCACTAGTTAAATAAAGCTAATAAATATTTTACCTAAGATATTTATAAAAAGAAGTAGTATTTTTAAGAATAAGCCTATAAAGGGTTAGGAATTAATAGGGGGGCATTATAAATTAATACAGGGGTATTACTTTTATAAGGGCATTGCTTTCTAGCTACCTAATTAGTTAAAAAAAACAGTATATCCCTATAAAAGTAGTAAGGGTAATTACACTAATATAGCTATTCTACTGTTCTATTCTACTATTAACTAATTAACCTATATAGCTATAGGAAATAGGCTTTATAAGGGGGGTTCTTTTTATAGCTATAGGAAATAGCCTTTATAAGAAGCGCTATCTTTATAGCTATAAAAAGAGCCCCCTTATTAAGCCTACTTTATAGCTATAAAAAGAGCCCCCTTATTAAGCCTACTTCCTATAGCTATAAAGGTTACCTCTTTTGCTAGGCCTACTTTCTATAGCTATAAAAAGAGCCCTCTTATTAAGCCTACTTCCTATAGCTATAAAGGTTACCTTTTTTACTAGGCCTACTTCTTATAGCTATAAAAAGAGCCCTCCTATTAAGCCTACTTCCTATAGCTATAAAGGTTAGCCCTCTTGCTAGGCCTACTTCTTATTTACCTTAAGAAAGGTAACTTTTTTTATATTTAAAATACTTACTACTTAGCTACTTTTTTATAATATAACTATAAGAATTTATTATTACTACTAACTATTTTTTACTAACTTTATATTCTTTATATACTAGGCTAAAGTAACTATTTACTTATATAACTACTTATTATTTTTTTTTATTAAGAATACTAGACTAGCTTTTTATTTATTACTAAGATAAAGTTAAAATCTAACTTTAACTTAGTTAACTTTTTTCTTATAAAGACCTAGCTAGTATTAACTTATTATTTTTACTTTTAAGTAAGTAACTTTACTTTTTACTACTTATACTTTAGTTTTTACTAAAGGTATAAGTTTAGCTAGTTAAGTAGCCTTTTTTTAGTAAAGATAGTTATAATAAAATAGGCTATACTATATTCTTTAGCTTACTATAAAGGAATACTATAATCTTAGGATTAAGGATCTAGTAGTATAGATTAAAAGAAAATATCTCTTAAAGACACTACTAAGGGTATACCTTTTACTTACTAAAAGCTACTAAATTAAGTATCTTAGTAAAGATCTTATAGTAGTATAAAATACTAAGCTTAGTTAAAATAGTATAGTCTAGATTATATTCT